GATCCTTGAGGAATCGCCATACTGTTTTCCATAATGGTTGAACTAGTTTACAGTCCCACCAACAGTGTAAAAGTGTTCCTATTTCTCCACATCCAATGGGAGGTAAAATTTCTACACTTCAACTTGTAAAATGTTGAAACCAGACTGTGGTATTTCATATATGTAAATATTTTTTATGTATATAAATTTTATTATATATATGCATGTGTATATGTGTGTGTAAACTATCTAGAGCTACCACTAAAAAAAAACTGTACAAGGAGATATACTAAAAAATACTATAGATTAATCAAAATGAAATTCTAAGCAACTATTCAGGCAACCCACAGGAAGGTGGGGAAAAGAATAAAAAGCAGAGGGAACAAACAGAATACAATTATTACTGGCTATCATGTTAATGGAAGGCAGAACTTTTAAAAATTAAAAATTTACTCAGTAATAGTGATTTGCAAATTGTTTGAGGATTCCCAATGAAATGTTTTAAATTGTAATCTGGACTTCCTATCTTATCAAAAATCTGAGTTTAAAAAAGAGCGCAGAAAAATGAATAGATTCTGCTTCACTTATAAAATATAAACATTAAAATTTCACAAGTTCAGATCTTCACTTCAATTTAAGCTTTTATCAAATTGTCTAAAGACCCATGTCATTGTCACTAGGCTCAAATTCAAGCTTGCAGTATTATTGATTCTGCCTATCCACTCAGAATTTATTTTGTTAGGTATTCAGTTTATTTAAAATATACAGAGCTAAAAAAATTAGACAGAGCTGTACTTGTTTAAATCTGTAAAGCAGGCAAAGTTTTAGAAACCTGTTATATTTTCCTGCCTACCCCGACAGGCCCCACCATGGTGCCCTCTCTTCACCTTAGGGTATTGCTCTCAACTCTCTAGGTTGGAAACCAATTTGATCAACTAGTCCCTGAGATAAAATGTTATCCCAGTATGGGTTTAGGAGTGATTCCTCCAGGCATATTTACATTTTAATAAGAGGCCCTTAAAGTCCCAAATTTACTAAGATGTGAATGTATCTATTTGTACCATGCCCAGCGGAGCAGGCTGTGGGGAAAATTGTCTCAGGTTCAGGTCTCCCTGGGTCTCTTGCAAATCCTTCTATACAGATTGTCCTCTGTGCTCTTCAGTATAAAGCACATCCCAGTTAACAGAATTTTAATGAGATAAATAAGAAGCAGGATAATGTAGAGGAAAGAATACTAACTTTGGAATTGGGAGAACTCTTAGATTTGATCCTGGTCAATCAGGTAGCCTCTCTAGCCTCAGCTGGCTCATTTGAAAACGGTAATCTTTAGCATCCTCCAGTCCTATGATACTGGGATTAGATAGAGCTGAAATATATCTTTGCAGCAGATAAGTGCAAACAATAATAGTACTCCCTCCAAGAACACATTCTAAGACCTGATGTAATGCTCCATTTATTTTATCTTTTAAATATTTTTTTTTCTTGGAACACCTATGTTCTTTCTTTTTTTCCTTCAACTTTTAAGTTCTGGGGTACATGTTCAGGATGTGCAGGTTTGCTTCATAGGTAAACGTGTGCCACGATGGTTTACTGCACAGATGAATGCATCACTTAGGTATTAAACCTAGCATCCACTAACTATTCTTCCTGATGCTCTCCCTCCCCTTACCCCCACTCCTACAGACCCTAGTGTGGGACACTTATTTTCTTAGAAGATAGATAAAGTGTTGCTATAATTAATTCTAATTACCTCTCATTGAAATAAGTAATCAGAAACTCATAATCCAAATGACGATAGCAGACAAAGGAAAAACTAGATTCAAATTAGTGAGTCAAAAGGATAAAAACTGGTTTTCTTTTGCCTTCCCTCGTCTTTCCCTTCCCTTGTCTTTCCTTTTCTTTCTCCTTCCCTCCTTCCCTCCTTCCCTCACTCTCTCTCTCTTTCTATCTTTTTTTTTTCTTTGACAGTCTCACTCTGTCTCTAGGCTGGAGTGTAGTGGCGTGATCTCATCTCACTGTAATCTCCGCCTCCAGGGTTCAAGCCATTCTGGTCCCTCAGCCTTCCTAGTAGCTGGGATTACAGGTGTTTGCCACCACACCTGGCTAATTTTTGTATTTTTATTGGAGACAGGGTTTTGCCATATTGCCAGGCTGGTCTCAAACTCCTGGCCTCAAGCAATCTGCTTGCTTCAGCCTCACAAAGTGTTGGGATTACAGGCGTGAGCCACCACACCCGGCTTCCTTTTTCTTTTTCTTTCTTTCAGACCTCACATGTTCTGCCTTGGCCTCCCAAAGTTCTGGGATTATAGGCGTGAGCCACTGCACCTGGCATTTATACTGAAAAGTAGTACAAACATCCTTTTTAATATTCCTGTATTATTTTTATACTTATCAATGGGGTATGCAACAATAACAAAAATTAAAGAGGCAGACTAAATCAATCACCTAATTGAATTAGATAATTAAAGAAGATGTCAAGGAAAAATACAATAGAATTCTTGCACAAATACTCATTATGTCAAAAAACAAACATGAGACAAGGAACCCCCCTAAATATTGATATTTCTGACATGCTCATGCCAGGAACCCTCCATGATAGAAATGTACCCTCCTTTTCTCTTCATTCCCATAAATCAAACTTACCTTTCCAGTGTTTTCCACATTTTACTAGCCCTAAGAATTACCTGGAAAACTTGTTAAGACTGATTCTGGGGCTGTTTTGGATCCTCTACAATTCTAAAAAAGGACACAGGAATCTCCAGGTCTCATAAATATCCTCAGTGATTTCTACAAGGAGAAAATCTTGGAAACACTGGGTTTGATAAATGAACACCTGCCAACGTATCTCACTAATAGACAATCTCTTTAGGAGAACAAAATCATCTGAATCTAATAATCATTGCTCACAATTATTGATTTGTTACTATATGCCAAGAACACGTGATTATCTCTTACAATCTTTATAATTCATGTTTGAAATTGTTTTTACTTTATCCACATAATATTAAAACAGGGAGACTGAGCCCTGAGAAGTACCCTACCAGGTCACACAGCTAATAAGACACAATGCCAAGGAAAACTGGTAGGTGACAGTTCTAGGTATCTTCCCTACAGCTTCCAGGTGACATTTCCAGTCAGCCCCGAACACGCTTCAAGTTTAACACATCCATAGAGTTGAGACATGATGGGTTTGGGGCTCAAGAAGCTGGGCTGACTGGTGACATATTACACAGCTCTGGCTGTGCACTCAGGATGGGATGTGTCTTAGGACTCTTCCTATTTTTGTGATCAAGGTTGGAGAGAAAAATTAAGAAGATGGGAGTTGTGTTTGTTTGTTTGAGATGGAGTCTCCTGTCACCCAGGCTAGAGTACAGTGGTGCAATCTCGGCTCACTGCAACCTCCGCCTCCAGGGTTCAAGCAATTCTTGGGCCTCAGCTTCCTGAGTAGCTGCGATTACAGGCACCCACCACCACACCCAGAATTTTTGTATTTTTAGTAGAGAGGGGTTTTCGCCATTTTGGCCAGGCTGGTCTCGAATTCCTGGCCTCAAGTGATCCACTCACCTTGGCCTTCCAAAGTGCTGGGATTATAGGCGTGAGTCACTGTGACTAGCCCAGAAGATGGGAGTTTTTAACATGCACTAGAGGCCAATGTCCTGGAAATTCGCTTAAAGACAGACAATGCAAGGTGATTTCTCTGCTCTGAGATGTGACACAGACTGCCCATAACCATCCAGTAGCATGTCTGCGTGAATGAGAGATCTTGTGAGGCAGGCATTAGGACAGCTTTCACAGCAGCAATGACAGCAGAATGTGGTGGGGAAAGCATGGGTTATTTAAGACTTATGATGAACCTCTTTTTTCTGCTATAAAGGACATTATTGAGACAACTGGTGAAATTTCAATAAGGTGTGTAGATTAATAGTATATGTGTTAATATTCTGATTTTGATAACTATGTTTATGTTAGACAACATCCTGTTTTTAGGAAACAAACGTTGAGTATTTAGGGGTAAAGAGACATACATCATGTTTACAATTTACTCTCAAATGGCTCAGAAGTGTGTGTGTGTGTGTCTGTGTGTATCATTGGGGAATCTGAGTGAAAAATATTTGGGAGTTTCTTTAATGTTTCTGCAACTTTTATGTAAGTTTTAAAATATTTCAAAACCAAAAGTTAAGGAATTGTACTGGAAAGTTATAATTAACTATTTTCTAAGAGGCAAATTTAATATTAATTACATACAGACATGCAGGAAAGAAGTCTGGAAGAAAGAAAGGAGAAAGGGAAGGGGAGAGGAAGGGAAGAAAAAGCAGAGAAGGAAGAAAGGAAGAGAGGGAGAATCAATGAGAGAAAGGATGAAGAACAAACATGGACTTTGGAAATCCTAATAAAGCCTATCAATTCAATGGCCGACTCTGTCATTTAGTAGCTGTTGTGTGACCTTAGTCACACTCCATAATTACTCTGAGCCTCCATTTGCCAGCCTATAAGATTGACATAATAATACTGTCTTGCAGGGTGGTTGTGAACAGGAAAGGAAACGACATCTGTAACAACTGGAGCCTTGATGAGGGAAGGGGGATCGGGCACAGGGGCAGGGTCTTGCCTCCTGTTTTGCCTCCCCATTGGCTCTTCGCCTACCCCAGAGACAGAGGGAAACGCATTTGTGAATGAGGTGCCTGTTCCACCTGATCCTGAGGAGCAAAACCCTCCTAGGCTACCAGATGATTTCCAGAAGGCAAAGGAAGCATTAAACTGACATGCTTAGAAGGCTTCCAGGGTCGCTTACCCTTATATTACTTTTTTACCTTCGAGAATTTGATCAACCACTTTAAATGCTTCATCAACATTTCCATATTCCAGTTTCCTTTCTGGCTCGAAGAAGGAGTTGTGTTGTATAGCTTCCTAGAGAGAAAACAGAAGAGTGAGGCAGCTTGGGCAAGACCTAGGGCGGCAGGCACACCCCACTGCACATCCTCTGAGCAGAGGCTGTTTCTCCCTTCACCTTGTGGTCCCGTGCACTTTCACCATGACCCTGGTGAGCCAAGCTAAGAATCCAACTGCAGAGAGATTCCTCAGTGAGGAAATGTAAATGTGCCCACTGAGTCCGAAGAAATAATATGCACAGAAAAAAACTGGCATCTAAGTGATCCCAGAATGAAACTAGTATTTTCCAGGCAGATTATTGTCTTCACATCACAAGCCATTTCATGTAGCCAAGGCTATATAGCATAGGGCTTCAGAGCCTAGGCTCTGGACCCAGACAGCATTGCACACATTTTTCCCATTTACCAGCTTTGACTGTGGGCCTGTCACTTCACCTCTCTTATCATCATCTGTAAAATGGAAGTAACAGGTGTGCATATAGCTCCAATAGGATCGTGGTTGGTGAAGATAAAATGAAATAAAACATGTGAAGAGCTTATATGGCATATAGTAAGCACTCAACAATTGCTAGTTGTAGAGACTCTAGTGATTGGGATCATAGTGGCTCTGCCTGCCAGCCCCACATTCCTTCTTTGTGGGGATGAGCATTTCATTTGCACGGGGCAGTAGAGCACCTGGGACCTCTAGCTCTGAAGTAAGATTTCAGACAAGCCCTGTCTGGGTGCTGGGTGTACAAATCCATTTATACACTGGCTTCTATTGGCTCTCCCTCGGTGCCCAGCAAAGGGGTACAGTGGTACACATAACCAGAGATGTAGTTACAGTAACATAGGTTGGTTTTTAGCTATCCCTGAGAATTTATCTTGCAGTAATCCATGTGTGGCAAATGTGGTGTGCCAGCTCCTGCTGGCATTATCCACTGTGGGTTATTGTCCATCCATGAAATTCCACTCTGTTGGAAGCTGGGGATTCTCTTATCTCTGTTTCTTTTTGGCCACCAGTAGGTGTCTAGACAACACCCCTTAGAGGGATATGCTATTGTGATTCTGCCATTTTCCCCATTCAAACACTAGGTTGGTTTGTTTATAGCACCGGTGGGGCCCAGCTTGTTTGACAGAGTGTTTGTTGATTGCTTTTGTTACTGACTGGCTATGTAACCTTGGGTAACCCTGTTTTTTAGTTTCCCCATCAGAATGGGGATGAAAATAGTTTTTACCTCATAGAATTTTTGTGAGCATTTAGTAAGTTAATGTGTGAAACTGACCTAGAATCATGTCAACCACGTAGTGAGCTCTGTATAGGTCCTGGCTATGATCATGTTGTTGTTGATGTTTATTATTCATGACAGATGCTGGTAGGAAACACATTTTTTTCCATTATGGTCATCATCCTTACCCCTCGATTCAAGAGTTTTGATCATTTCCCCATTCAATCTACTAAAAATTCGAAAAGCATGAGCCAGATTAAACCTTTGTGATAGTGACAGAGATAAATTTGGTTTTGTTATTTTTTGATTGATAACACACTTCCTATTGGAATCAGTTCATGTGCTTTTCTTATTAATCCAAGATTAAAGAGATTCCAGGTTGAAAAAAAGCTAGGTTTTATAAATCCTATTTTTAAAAGCTTAATCTTTTTCAACTTTACTGGCTGGTTGCTCTTTGAGTAACTTTGAGCCAATTTTCTGAATTTTTCTTAGTCAGGAAAGTGATAAAAGAACTGTAACGAATAGGGAGAAGGGCATATTTCCCTCCTCTAAACTTTGATTAAACTCACTCTGATCCAGTTGATGAAACTTTGAGAGCTTAATCTCTGAACACAATGTGAGGCAACTCTTTTCCACAAAGCCAAAGCTTGAATCTGATGCTGGGATTCTCTGGCAGACAATCACGAGTCTACTGGTTGAAGTGATGAGGGCGGGGGGAGTGGCATCTATTATATTTGCTTATAGGGGCTTTTATTTGGCTGGAAGGTAGGGGGAGTGAAGAGTAGATATTTAGCCCCTGATATTGGGCAAAGATTTATACACAAAACATTGATGAAGTACTATGTAAATAATTTCTAATAAGTAATTCTAACTCTCCAGCAAAACTTCGGGGGATGGAATATAGGAAGCAAGAGCAGCAGGCAACACGTAAATGAAAAGGGCCTGAGAAGGGAACAGAGTGTTTGAATTTGAAACTGGCCAGGAAAATTTGGGAGGCCTAATCACACTTCGACTCCAATTAAACTTCTACATTTTTGTCTTTTTGACATGATTTTATTTTTATTTGAAAATGTAAGAAAAATTCCCAGAGACAAACTCCATGTTCCTAAGCATCAAGCAGCATGGCAGAAAACTCCCCAACACCCAGTTCTCCTGGAGACACTCATCGGCCCAGGTCGCTTCCTCAATTCTGCCTCAGGCCATGCTGGTCACCCAGAGAACAACGTGTTCATTGTGCTGTGAAGCTAATACTGTGTCCCAGAGCACATGCAGCTTGTATGGACTGAGTCTCATCTACTTACACTGCCTTCCCAGTGTTCATTCTTTCATCATTCAGGAAATTATAAGAACCAATGGAATGCACACAGAACATCCTATCATTTCATGGAGATGAGTCTTATAGCCTTTATAAATTTTCAACTCCTCTCTCAACATCACAAGAGAAAATGCAATTCTCCAGTTTGTTTAAGTTGCCAAAATACCTGTAGGCATCATATGATTTATCTCTTGAAAAATCTAAAAATCGTGTCTCTGACACTCACTTCATGGAACATCCTGTTGGTCCTCACTGTGTGCCTGGGTGAAGGTGGGTACAAAGTCACAGAGTGGATCCACTTTCCTGGACATCACTGGTTCCCATCCAGCATCCCCTCCCCTTCCCCTTTCCCAACAGGGCTCAGATTCGTTTCAGCTTCCTACACTCCCCTATGTAGCCCACTTACTTCAGAGAAATCTGGCCCCAACTCCGACCCCTAGAAGTAACCAACAGCTCCTCCATTCCCCTGCCAGTCATTAATTCAGAGATGGATATGTCACCTAAATGGCTTAAAGAGGCTGGATCTCAGGATTTGTGCTTGGAATGCTGGGGCAGTAGGGTTCCTCTTACTCCTCGAACATGAACGAGGAAGTCCAGGTTGTCCTGGCGGCCATCTGTGTGACCACAGGAATCGAGCTTCTATCGTGGGCAGCAGAGAGGAGCAACAGAAAAAAGCCGTGTCCTTGGGGAAATTGTTAATACTGGGACTGTTTAGAGGTTAACAAAGTCCCTGTATTTTGGAGGCCACTTTGAGCCACATTTTTCTGTTACAGTAGCCAAAAGCATTTTAACCGATACTTGTTCTGGCTCCCAACTGGCACCACCATGGAACTCATTACCTCGATTGTTAGGATCAGTGGCTCCAAATCTTGATAGACAATCTTCACTTGCTTAGCAGCTCGCTTTGCCTGAACCTCAGAATCAGCAAGCACGGCACAGACAAGCTGACCCACACAGAACACCTACGACACAGAAAGACCTTTGTTGTCAAGGAGGGCAGGCATCAGGTCCTCTCTTTTATTTATTTTCTTCCTCCCTCCTAGTACTAGATCACATGAGGGTTAGGGCTAGATGTGACCCCTCCACATCTGTCCATGACTGTAACCACAGCTGGCCTCCTGACCCCAGGCACTGGGGGAAGTTTAGATCCTTGTGCTGTATCAGAGGAGCAGGAGTCATGCTGTCTCGAGGACAGGAGGCTCAGGCTCCCGGCCAAGCCTATGAGGCTGTGTGAAGGCCAGCCTGTCCCATGGCTTGATGTGTGGCTGTCACACGACAATCAGAGCTGTTCTGAGAGATGCAACCTCTGCCTTTATGGACAGGGAGACCAGGAAGTCACAGCTCATCTCAACCAGAGAGAAAAAGGGGGTGACCTGGGAAGGGGAGTCCCCTGTGATAACAGAAGCCTGCTGGTGAGCACATCTCTCCTCACAAACTGTCTTTTCATGAAAAGGCATCCTAGCCAAGATGCAACCAAGCAGACAGCATCCCCTTCCTGGGGATTATTCACCTGCAGGTGGGGTAGCTGGACTCAGGAGTTCACGCAAGGACCAGAGCAGAAATTTAGATGGGGAAAAGAAAACTTAAGCCTTGAGAAAGGTAAAATCAGTCTGGACTGGAAGAAGTCACCATGACTACTGAGTTCTCTCTCCTACCTTATGCTGTGATTCACAATTTCAATGTAATCACTCATTTTAAAAATCGACTTTAAACTACTGTGTCTTTTCCACAATGAACATAAAGTAGTTTTGTCATCAGAAAAAAAAGGTATTGAAAACATTAAATGTAGCATGAACACACAAAAAAGTGTGTTCATTGGAGGGGGGCAGTGAAGGAGAGAAAAATGAAACAAGAATGGCAACATGTTGATAACTGTTGAAGCTGGTTGATGGATCTATGGGGTTCATTGTACAGTACTTTCCCATTTTTGTGTATGCTTACAATTTCTACAATGAAAAGATATTTAAAAGCCATTAAGTGCCATAAATGAATGTTTTAAAAAGCATTACACCAACAAAGGCAATCATTCACAATGGCATTCCAAAGTCTCCTAATTTGGCTTCTGTGACCTGGCACATAGATGTGGCCCCTGAGATGCTTATAATCTTCATAAGCACATCTCAGAGAGCAGATACTATCATGCAGCCAAGATCAGTTTCACTTGTTTAGTAAACATTTATGCAAAGGCCTTAAATTCTCACCATCTCTGCCAGTGCTACACAGCCCTGCTTTGGGGGAGTTTCAACCTTGAGTTCAAACTCTCAGTCATCAAGCTTTCATTTCTACAGACAATATCTTCCAGGGAATATCTTCCAGGGAGAGCCAGAGGAAGGGACTGTTTCAAATTATGAAGCCCTTTTGGGTAAACACTGAACTGAGCAGTCTGAGTTATGCAGAAAACTTGCTGACTGCTGTCCTTGCTGTAGCCAAAGTTTTAATCATTTGTAATTTTCACAAGGCAACAATGTTATCACTATACCTCCACTCATTCACCCTGCAATGTATGAAGCAGTGTGTGGAATACACAGATGAATCAGACATGGGTCCTCACTCAAGGAATTTATACTAGATAGAGGAAATACAAAAGACATCAAAATAAACAAGCTTAACACAAGGTAGAAAGTATATTAAAGGTCACTTCATTTTCTCCTCTAGACTTTAAGCTCCATGAGAGTAGAGATCATACATATCTGGTTCAACTATGGTGACCAGACATCATAGATGCTCACTTTTAAAAAGCCCATTTAGGCCCAGTGTGGTGGCTCATGCCTGTAAACCCAGCACTTTGGGAGGCCGAGGCAGGCAGATCACCTGAGGTACGGAGTTCGAGACCAGCCTGGCCAACATGGCAAAAACCCTCTCTACTAAAAATACAAAAATTAGCTGGGCATGGTGGTGCATGCCTGTAATCCCAGCTACTCAGGAAGCTGAGGCAGGAGAATTGCTTGAACCCGGGAGGTGGATGTTGCAGCGAACCGAGATCATGCCACTACACTCCAGCCTGGGTGACAAAGAGAAACTCCATTTAAAAAAAATAAAAATAAAATAAAATAAAAAATAAAAAGCCCATTTAACACACGGAAATATGAATGAATCAGAATAAATTGAGAGAGAGAGAGATTAAGACAGAGAGAGAGATTGAGAGAGAGAGAGAACAAACACTAATTCTGGATTGAAGAATGAGAAAAAAGGCTTCATGGTGTAGATATCACTTGAACTTGTAGTTGAACTTTGACCACGCTGAGACTGGGACAATAATAAGGAGTTCTCAGGAAAGGGATTTCCATATAAAAGTTATCATTAATCCATCTTCATTTATCCATTTATACCATTAGCAGCAGGCCATCTCACTATTAGAAAATGTAAAATACCAAATAATCTTTTACATAACTAGTTAATGTCTTCACTTACATGGAAAATGAATATATTTGAATTCATTCAATATTAGAATATACCTTTATAATAAGCATTCTAAGAATACTGGAGTCTTTCATGGTGTGCCAAATTAGATGATATCGTTAAGAAAATATGAAGCACCATTAACTGAGAAAGTTATTTTTCAAATAGAAAGCAAAAATGCAGTACCTTATCTGTCGCCAGAAATTCCTCAGCTTCGGTGAAAAAGCAGAAGGAGTTGACGTCACTAAGATGTTCTGCTGTTATGACGTCCACCACACCGGGCATGCTGAGAGCTTCTGACAGATCAATAGACCTAAGTGATATACACAGCAGAGCTCCTGAGAGTGGCCATAGAGGCTGAGAACATGGTTAATTGGAGAATAAGATATGAGAGAGGTAAGAACTGTCTAACAGTCTCTGCCAGACAATTGAGAAAAAATTCTTGGGACAATGAAGTTGTAGTAAATCCTACATTTCGATCCCATTTCACCTCTGGTCTGCATTGGATATCACCAACAAATAGCCTATTTCTTCACACCATTACTTTTCACTAATGTGACTTAGATGAAAAGACAATCATTTACGCCCATTGGGTAAGAACTTTATCACTTACATAATCTTAGCATGAGCTCTTGAACTAGTCACAAAAGTCAAGAAAAGTTCCTGGTCCACCGGAGGCATGTCATCACAGTAGATGGCCTCCCCCGTGGCATGCTTCACACCAGACAGATGCATGATGGGGTGGCCAATTGGGTCTTCAGGATGCTGCTTTGGGCCCATATGCTGTTTAATAAATAGCCAAAATATACTTTTACATTTCTATAGAGAAAGTAGGAATTATTATTATGCACATCTCCCATAGGAAGGTAGCTATATAATTTACACTCAAACCAGAATACTATTGCGTATGAAAAATCACTATTGGGCTGGGCACAGTGGCTCTTGCCTATAATCCCAGCACTTTGGGAGGCTAAGGTGGGCAGATCACTTGAGGTCAGGAGTTCGAGACAAGCCTGGCCAACATGGTGAAACCCCATCTCTAC